CTTTGGATAATGAAAGTTCATTTTCTATATTTGCCCAGCTTGGGCTGGACACAGGCAAATGTCATACGATACGCATTTAAACATTCTTTTCTTTCCATTTTAAGCATTTGTGTTTACTGCAGCACATCTCAAAGATTCACAATATTTACTGTATATTTCTATGCTTTTAAGAAAAAAAATGCAGCTTTCACATGCAAGTTAATTTCAGCAGGCAGGTCCTTTCCTGAAGCAAAAAAGGCTAGATATAAAAACAAACAAGAGGGAGAATACACTGTTTTAACAAATGGGTCCTTAGAGATGGATTTTAAAGCATGGATTTTGTTTCCCGATCTAGATTTTACCCTATCACTTCACAACACTGAGAGAAATCCTGAAATAAATCAGTAACATTTGCACAATTTTTAAGGCTGACAGTTTTATTTTTTTCCTGTTTTGTCTATTGCTGTAGCCAATGTAATTAGGTCATACCCATGTGAAAAGTTTATTGTACAAGAAAAATTTTGGATGTGTGTGAGTATTTTCAGGAAGATTTGTTTCTGCTAATGTTCATGATGTCCTTTGCACATGAAACTAATTCACTTATTATCGTACACAATTTAGAATATTATTATTGTTTCCAAAAAAACAAACAACTCTAATTCAAAGGGAAACACATGTTTGTTTGCTTTTCTATCATGGTTAGAGCAGTTACACTTAAAAGTATTTTTAGCAGATAAACCACTGATTTTAAAACATATTTTTTAATAATACAGATTAGGTGCCAACCCAAGCAGGGATCATTCGAGTAGAAAGGGGAGAAAGGACTAAATTATAATAGTATTCCAGAAATGGCAGCAGAAATCAAACGCTAGCCTACATACCTTGAGCATTGCCCTCTAATTTCACTTTTATAAAAGTTGTTTGTAATTCTTAGGTCCTGGGTATTTTCTAACAGACTTTTTATGATTATATCAACAGATGTAAGTTTCAGGCCCACATGAAAATTATTGCTTCTACACTCCCAGAAATGTTAGGAACCATGGGAGAATGCCATTTTTCACAAAATGAAGATACTTATTCATGTTTTCTGAAAAATCTTGATGTTAACTCATTTTCTTCTTTAATAAGCTGAATGCCTTGCTTTTATTTTTATGTATTAATTTAATAATTTTAGTAACTATTTAATTGAGATTCTTACTTGCTTCCGAAACATAAGCACCAGGATGAATAGATACAAGAGTCACAATTTAACATATTTTATTGGCTGAGCATAAAGGTCACAATTACCAAGCTTTATAGACACACCATTAGAAGTATACAATAGATCCTTTGTAGAGACCATGAAGGAGAGCTAGTGTAGGCGATGTCAGGAACAGCAATACAAATTTTGAGTTGCTGTCTGTGACAAAAGCAGAGCAATTGTCAAGAATTTGACTGGGTCGCAAAAGAATTTAAAGGGCCAGCAGCTCTTTAAGAATGCACGCATTAGCATTAGCTTTATCCTTACGTAACATTTACTGTGAGGCAAGGCATGCCAAATATTAAGCAATCTACTGAATTCCTCTGAGTCCCTACCCAGTGATTCTATTTTCAAATGAGATAGGTAGGTGAGATATACAAATGAAATCAGGAGGCTTGATTAATGCTGCCCTTCCAGAAATCTACAATGTGAATGGATCACTATTTGTACCCCAGTTTATGCATTTTGCTAAGAAAAAAATGGAAATAAGTGAAATAGATGGGAAAATATGGTACTTTTTTGGAAGGAAAGAAGTTTCCGTTCTAAAACAAAATGTACATGGCTAATCAGATATACTTCTGCAATTCTGTTTTCATGTATTAATAGAGCTAGATTTCAGCTTCGCTTAAGTTTTTACCAAGAGAAGAATTTGAGGGCATGGTGTCTTGCACCTGTAATCCCAGCCCTATGGGAGGCCAAGGTGGGCATATTTCATGAGCTCATAAATTCACGACCAGCCTGGGCAACATGGCAAAACACCATCTGTACAAAAAATAAAAATAGAAAACTAGCCGAGCATGGTGAAACATGCCTGTGGTACCAGCTACAGGGGAGGCTAAGGTAGGAGTATCGCTTGAGCCCAGGAGGCAGGTAGCACCACTGCTGGGATTGCACCACTGCACTCTAACTGAACTCCAGTCTGGGTGACAGAGCAAGACCTTGTCTCAAAAAAAAAAAAAACAAAAAACAAAAAACAAAAAAAAAAACAAAGATTTGTTAGTGAGAGGTCAGTTTTCCTAAATTACATTGACTAAATTTTTTGTGACATTCAGAATTTGCCATGGTCGCTTGCTAGACTCCTAACATGTTCTGTAAATTCTCAGCTTTTAGTAGAATTTGAAGAATGCTTGTGGAAAATCAGTGATGCTTTCAACCATTGGTATGGTTTGGTTCTGTGTTCCCACCCAAATCTCACCTTGGATTGTAATAATCCCCATGTGTCAAGGGCAGGACAAGATGGAAGTAGTTGGATGATGGGGGCAGTTTACCATGCTGTTCTCATGATAGTGAGTGTGTCTCATTAGATCTGATGGTTTCATATGCATCTAGCATTTCTCCTGCTTGCACTCATTCTCTTTCCTGCCTCTCTGTGAAGAGGTGTCTTCTGCCATAATTGTAAGTTTTCTGAGGCCTCCCCAGCTACGTGGAACTGAGTCAATTAAACCTCTTTTCTTTATAAATTACCCAGTCTCAGGTATTTCTTTATAGCACTGTGAGAACAGACTAATACAGTAAATTGGTACCTCAGAGAATGGGGTGCTGCTATAAAGCTATCCAAAAATGTGGAAGCGCCCTTGGAACTGGGTAATAGGCAGAGGTTGGAACAGTTTGGAGGGCTCAGAAGAAGACAGGAAAATGTGGAAAAGTGTGGAACTTCCTAGAGATTTGTTGAATAGCTTTGACCAAAATGCTGATAGTGATGAGGACGATGAAATCCAGGCAGAGGTGGTCTCAGATAGAGACAAGGAACTTGTTGGGAACTGGAGTAAAGGTGACCCTTGCTATGCTTTAACAAAAAGACTGGTATCATTTTACCCCCTCCCTAGAAATCTGTGGAACTTTTGAACTTGAGAGAGTTAATTTAGATTATCTGGTGGAAGAAATTGCTAAGCAGCAGAGCATTCAAGACGTGACAAAGCATAAAAGTTTGGAAAATTTGCAGCCTGACAATGCAGTAGAAAAGAAAAACCCATTTTCTGGGGGGAAATTCGAGCCACCTGCAGAAATTTGCATAAGTAATGAGAAGCCAAATGTTAATTGCCAAGACAATGGGGAAAATATCTCCAGGGCATGCACCACAGCCCCTTCCATCACAGGCCCAGAGGCCTGTGAGAGAAAAATGGTATCCTGGACCTGGTCCAGGGCCTCCCTGCTGTGTGCCATGTGTCCTAGCTGCTCCAGTCATGACTAAAAGGGGCCAAGGTATATCTCAGGCTATTGCATCAGAGGGTGCAAGCCCCCAGCCTTGGCAGCTTCCACATGTTGCTGGTCCTGTGGGTGTGCAGAAGGCAAGAATTGAGTTTGGGAACCTCTGCCTAGATTTCAGAGGGTATATGGAAATGCCTGGACACCCAGGCAGAAGTTTGCTGCAGGGGTGGAGCCCTCATAAAGAACCTCTGGTAGGGCAGTGCAGAAGGGAAATTGGGGTTGGAGCCCCCACACAGAGTCCCCACTGGGGCACTGCCTCAGTGAGAAAAGGCCCACCATCTTCTAGATCCCAGAATGGTTTATCCACAAACAGTATGCACCATGCACCTGGAAAAGCCACGGACACGCAAAGCCAGCCTGTGAAAGCAGCTGGGAGGGGGTCTGTAATGTGCAAAGCCACAGAGGTGGGGCTGTCCAAGGCCGTGGGAACCCACCTCTTGCATCAGCATGAACCTGGATGGAAGACACAGAGTCAAAGATAATTTTGCAACTTTAAGGATTAATGACTGCCCTATTGGATTTTGGACTTGCATGGAGTCTGTAGCCCCTTTGTTTTGACCAATTACTCACATTTGGAATGGGTGTATTTATGCAATGTCTGTATCCCCATTGTATCTAGGAAGCAACTAACTTGCTTTTTGATTTTTTACAGGCTCAGAGGCAGAAGGGACTTGCCTTGTCTCAGATGAGACTTTGGAGTTGGACTTTTGGGTTAATGCTGGAATGAGTTAAGACTTTGGGGGACTGTTGGAAGGACATGATTGTGTTTTGAAATGTGAGGACATGAGATTTGGGAGTGTCCAGGGGCGGAATGATATGGTTTGGCTCTGTGTTCTCCACATCTCACCTTGAATTGTAATAATCCCCACGTGTCAAGGGCAGGACCAGGTGGAAATTATTGGATCATGGAGGCAGTTTCCTCCATGCTGTTCTCATGATAATTAGTGAGTCTCATGAGATCTCTTGGTTTTGTAAGCATCTGGCATTCCCACCTCCTTGCACTCATTGTTTCTCCTGCCACCCTATGAAGAGGTGCCTTCCACCATGATTACAAGTTTCTTGAGGCCTTCCCAGTCATGTGAAACTGTGAGTCAATTAAACCTCTTTCTTTATAAATTATCCGGTCTTGGCTGGGCACGGTGGCTCACGCCTGTAATCCCAGCACTTTGTGAGGCCAAGGTGAGTGGATCACATGAGGTCAGGAGTTCAAGACCAGCCTGGCCAACATAATGAAACTCTGTCTTTACTAAAAATATAAAAATTAGCCAGGTGTGGTGGCACACATCTGAGGTCCCAGCTACTCAGGAGACTGAGGCAGGAGAATCACTTGAACCCAGGAGGCAGAGGTGCAGTGAGCCAAGATTGTGCCACTGCACTCCAACCTGGGTGACAGAATGAAACTCCATCTCAAAAAAAAAAAAGAAAAGAAAAGAGAAGAAAGAAAAACAAATTACCCGGTCTTGGGTATTTCTTCATAGCAGCATGAGAATGGACCAATACAACCATGCTTATTCTTCAGCTACAGTAGCAGGACTGCCTTTGACATACTGATGTTCTTTTTTTTTTTTTTCAGGGACTTTATGTTTTCGTGGTTTATTTCATTTTACACAACCAAACGTGTTGCCCTATGAAGGCCAGTTACACTGTGGAAATGAATGGGCATCCTGGACCCAGCACAGCCTTTTTCACGCCCGGGAGTGGAATGCCTCCTGCTGGAGGGGAAATCAGCAAGTCCACTCAGAATCTCATCAGTGCTATGGAGGAGGTGTCTGCCCTTGCCCTTTCATTCTCTCTCTGTCTCTGTCTGTCTGTCTCTCTCTCTCTGTGTCTGTCTGTCTGTCTGTCTCTCTCTCTCTCTCTCTCTGTCTCTCTCTGTGTCTCATTGACAGGCTCTTTACCTCGTAAAGAGTACAAGATGAATGACACTAGGTGATTTTTAAATCTTACATACTGACATCTTCTGACCTATGGTACTTGATTTCCTTACTGCAGCGTCACACCCATTATCTAATTCTTTCTCTTCCTCACCCTGTGAGCTAGACTGACCAGCAGTTTGTGTTGGGAAATCAGATAGAGTATAATTTGATATTTCTTTCTTCAAAATCTTTCTAATTTGACATGCCAGTGACTGGGTCCACCAAGGAAATGGTTCTTAAGATGTTATTTTTCCTAAAAATACTTTCATAGCTCTCTTCCTCCACCCATTCCAACTCACTACCTCAATCCCAAAAAACAGAGAAAAGAAATTAAGCCAAACTTCTTTTCAATTTACATACTAGAAAATATTTCAGAAAAAAAGCTCAGAAGAGTGCTTCTGCAGCACTATTGGAAAATCTAGCCAGGATTTCCTCTGTACAAATCTACCTCCCACTGCTCTCTGCATTCTGTCCTCATCATTTTTATTTCCTGTGCATGAATCCCATTGCCACCAGCTTGTCAGTAATGCTGCCCCTAGCACTGGGGCACTGCTCACATTTTAAAACATCCCTGAATTCCTCTGGCCAGGAGGAGATAGTAACAAAGGCCTCTAAAAATTTCTGCAGTGTCCGAGATGTGCTTGGTTACCATTTTTTTATGAGCTCGTATTGCCCTCTTTATATTAAGAAGCCAAGGAAAACAGTATTTGTGTTTACTTCCTGAAAAATGGCAGGAAATGAAGGTACACCTGTCTGAAAAGGTAACAGTTTATATTAATAGATAGATGGATGGAGAGATAGGTAGACAGATAGATCAATAGACTGATAACTTACCTGCCCAGAGATAACTTTTGTCCTTTGTAGCAATATGGAAAGTAATTTTACTTATGTTAGGTTAAAGTTAAGGTAAATATTCACAATTCAAGTACTATATGTATTTTTAGTTTTAATGAGAAATTTTAATATACAGAATTATTAACTAGTAACAGAAACAGAGTAGAAAGGTAGTTGTCAAGTGCTGGGGGTGAAAGAAATGAAGGATTTTGATCCAAGGATTTTGATCAAAATTTCAGTTATAAAATGAATTAGTTCAAGTACAGTTTTTAAAAATCAAGCTATATCTTTAGTATCCTTAAATTTTTGGAAATCTAGTATGACTTCTCTATCCCCAAAGTTCTTTTTTTTTTTAAGCAAACCCCTGCTTTTTTTTGTTCCCATTTGCTTGGTAGATCTTCCTCCATCCCTTTATTTTTGAGCCTATGTATGTCTCTGCGTGTGAGATGGGTCTCCTGAATACAGCAGACTGATAGAGCTTATTTCATCA